GGAAAGCCTCAGAGCAAAGTGTTCCCAGGCTTTGGTAGGGCTGTGGTGATGCCTCCAGCCACGTTCTCATCAGGACTTTGACTTAGAGGTTAAATATCTCAGCAGTGCAGAACAGATCCAGGGCTGGCTTCAGCTTCTGCTGCATTATTCATGAGTATGGGAAAGCTCTGAAAAATGTGACAGACTTTGGGTGAGGTCCTCCACACAGCATTGCTCCTCATGAGATGAAATGTGAGCGTGTCCCTGTGAGACAGGAGTGCACAGGCTGGAAGCTGAGGGATAATGGCATAAATAAGGGGAAGGTGAAGTCTTTGCTGTTTGTTTTCACTTTCCTCCCAAGGAATCACTTCTGCCAGTGACCTGCAAGCACTCCCAGCCATGGCAGCATGCTTCAGAGCACTTTGAAAACATTTGAATTTATTTTGCACGGGGTTTTGCAAGGCCGGGTTTTGTTGGGGGGGCAGAGGATCAGGAGCCCCTCCAGGCCCTCTGGAGAGGCCACACTTGCAGCACAGTCTCCTTTTTGCCCAAGTGAGCACTCAGCAAAGAGATAAGTGAGGATACAGCTCACGTTCCCTTTTGCTGCCCTGTGCTCAGCCTGCTCAGGCAGTGATGTGCAGGGGCTCAGCACCACTCCTACATCTCTAAAGCAGTTTGGCCTTGTCACTGAGGGTGGTTGTGGGACCTCAGGCTGGAGGAGGAGTGAGGGAGAAGGCAGGGATGCTCAGAGGCCCCAGGGGTTGTGTGTGTCCCAGAGAAGACAGCATGGCAGGGCCCCAGTTTCTCTTACATACTGATGAAGCTCTGCACTTTCCTAGTGGGAAAGGGTTTGGGCCTGTTTCTGAGAAATAAGTGAGAGTTTTCCTCTTGGTTTGCATGAGAGCAGGTCTGGGAGTGAAGTTTCCATAAAGGGGAATGTTGTGCATGTGGGTGTTCTGTCCACCTGGGCTTATGTTGCTATAAAAATCAGTAAATGCTTTGTACTGAAGGCATGTGAGGGTCCTGAGGGTTGTGTCCAGCCTTCCCCACATCCCTGTGTACACAGCAACTGATCTCTGCTTTTTCATTCTCCATTCACAAACACATGCCTGGAACAGCACTTAGGCAGGGGACAAAGCCCAGCTCTGCTGCTGTCCCAGCCCTGCCTGTGCTGGGGAGATGTGCTGCATCCAAACAGGTCTGGCTGGCCATGCCTGAGCCCAGGAATCTGGTCTGGGAGCTGCTGCTGGCTGTTTCCAGCCTGCACATGAGGTGTCTGTGCCTCTAAACCCTGTCTGTGCCTTGGGAATGCAGTCCCAGCTGGGAATGGGGTGCAGGGTGCTGGGGATCCATCCCTGGGCTGTGCCCTGGCAGTGCAGGGTCACAGCCACTGCTGCCTGCTGCAGATGTGACAGCAGCATCTGCCTGGGCTCTGCTGCTGTGTGCAGAGCCTGTGTGAGTGAGGGGCAGCTTCCACCAGCAGCTGCCAAGGACAGAATTCACACAATTCACAGAATCAATCACTGGGTTGGAAGAGACCTTCAAGATCACAGAGGTCAACCCAGCCCCAACAGCTCAATTCAACCCTGGCACCCAGTGCCACATCCAGGCTGTGTTAAACACACCCAGGGATGGGGACTCCACCACCTCCCTGGGCAGCCATTCCAGAACTTTCTCACTCTTTCCATGAAAACCTTTTCCCTGCTCTCCAACCTGTATTTCCCTTGGCACAGCTTGAGGCTGAGTGCTCTGGTTGTGTCAGTGCTGCTGGAGAAAGAGCCCAGCCCCAGCTGAGCACAGGCCCCTTTCAGGAGCTGTGAGAGTGATGGGGGCAGCCCTGAGTCTCCTTTTCTCCAGGCTGAGCACCCCCAGCTCCCTCAGGGCTTCCTCACTCTCAGGGTTTGTGTTCCCAGCCCTTTGGTGCTCTCTGCTCTGCACTGCCCAGCTGGCAGCAGGAGCTGCTCCCTTCCTTCTCCTGGGACAAGATGGGAGCAGCTGGCAATGCATCTTTGGGTTGTCACTGGAGAGGTGCTTATAATGAAGAGCAAAGTATTATTGCTCTTGTACAGTCCTGGCTTTGGTGAAACCAGATGGGTTTGAAGTAAGTATGGAGTTCCTTTGTCCAATGTAATTAGAAGCTGAAATTCGTGTGTTTGGAGTGCTGTGAGTAATCCTCTGCTTTCTTTCTGAAGAAACATCTTTTTTTTTTTTTTTTTTTTTGTTACTGAACACTGGTGACTTGCAATGGATTCCTGCAGTACTGGTTGGATAGAGGACAAGGAGGTCATATAAAAAGTCACCCTTGGTTTGAAATGAAGGCAATGAAAAATGAGTGCCTTGTACTAAAAGTGTTGCTGGAGATTGTTGGCCAAGTATTGCAGTCTCACTTTCCTATTTTTAAAACTCTCTCACCAGCTGTGATGTGACCCTTCCCTCCACACCCACAACAGAAAAAAAGCCCTTACTGATTAGAAACAGGAAATAATAAAACTCACTAACCACAAAGTATTTTCAAAGACACAAAATAAACAAGCAGAGATAGTGGGAAATAGATATTACCTGCTGATCTCCTTTCAGCACAGTAACCATAGCTAATAATTATAGTCCCTGGGGATTTACAGCTTTTGGAGGGAATGTTTTTAGGATGATGCTGTCAAACTGCAGTAAGATATTTTCATCAGAGTCTCTCCCAGCATAGCAATAAGGTGGCCAGGAGTGCCATGAGATGCATTGGTGACACCTTCTAGAAGTACAAGAGCACTTCAGGCTGATCTGGGCCAGGGAGCTGCTCTCCTTGCTGGTCACAGTGGGGTGCACTGGAGGTTCCCCTGGTGGGTGCAGCTGTGGGGGCTCTTGTGACCCTGTTCACAGGGGTTCTTGGAGAAGGGAAGAGATGAGAATGTTGACTCCATGTTTCAGAAGGCTTGATTTATTATTTTATGGTATATATTACATTAAAACTATACTAAAAGAATAATTAAAAGGTTTCATCAGAAGGCTGGCTAAGATAAGAATAGAAATTAAAGAATGATAATAAAGGCAGCAGTCTCAGACTCCGTCTGAGCCAGCTGGGCTGTGATTGGCCATTAATTAGAAACATCCAAGATGGGCTAATCAAAGATCTACCTGTTGCATTCCACAGCAGCAGATAACCATTGGTTACATTTTGTTCCTGAGGCCTCTCAGCTTCTCAGGAGGAAAAATCCTAAGGAAAGGATTTTTCATGAAAAGATGTCTGCCACAGGCTCTCATGGCATGGGCTTTTACCTGACCTCAGCTCTATTTGTGACAGTAAGCTGGGAAGATCTTGAATGTCTTTTCTGTGCCAGGATTCTGCAGTTTTCTTTGCCTGGTTGCTTTCTCTACCCATGAGTATTCTCTGTGCTTTGCTGCCGTGGTTTGCTTGGGCTGGCCCCACCTCCCACTCTCCTCTGGACCTTTGCAATGGGATCAGCATGAGGATGATGATGATGATGATGTGTATTTTTCACATTAGTGATCACTCCAAAGGGCCTCATCAGGAAAGGGGGAATCTTCATTTTCAGGCAGAGGGTGGAGAGTGAGGGTGATGTTTGTGCAATTCTGGATCTGTGCAATTCTGTGTCTTTGCCTGACATCTGACCTGCCTTGCCTTCTTCCAGCCAGGTGTAGGCCAATTGTTTCTCCTGCCACCCTCATGCCACTGCTCCTAATGGCTCTTCGGGAGGGCTGGATAAAAGGGAAAGCTTCCCAGGAAAAGATGCTAAACCCGGAGGCGCCGGTTTTCACTCCTTCAGCACCTCATCCAATAGATCTCTCTGCATAATGAGCCCCTCGGACTGCGGGCCGTTCATTAGTATGCTCCGTGTTTGTTTAAGAGCTCCCTGCTCTTTTATTCCTGCTGTGAGCAGCTTCTAACTGCCTTTGAGATGAAAAATGGGCACCAAATTTTGCCACCAAGTGAGTAGATTTGTCCCAATCTCCTCTGTCCAGTTTGCAGGGAATTTCACCTTCTGCTTTCTAGATGATCTCTGTGACAGTAAAGGCTGTTATCAGTAAAAGCTAAAGCATCGATCCAGCCTGATAAACCCAACTCCCTATTTCCTTCATAACTTCTAAAGTGTCCCTGTGATGCAGGCAGGGCTGTCTGTGTGTGTGGTGAACGCTGCTTTCCTACAAAGGGTCAGGGGCAGCCCCCAAACCAGCCCTTCCAACTGCATCCAGGAAAAACTCTTTGTGAAAGAAGCAAATCAAAGCAGATGCTCAAACACTCTTTATTCAGAGCACACGGGACAAGGCTGGGAGAAATGTCAGTCGTTATCTTCAAAACGTTTATTTAGAACTTTTAGTTATGGAAACAAAAAAAAAAATCCCTAAATATATCTCTATGGAACATATATATATATAACATATATATATATACACATGTACTCACAAGTTCTAGAGCAGTGTCAGGCTGGGAACAGCAAAGCCTGAGTGAGCAACCCACAGAGCATTTCTAAACAGCCTAAAAGGTCCAGACCAAGTCTCTCCCTTTTTCTTTTTTTTTTTTCTCCTAATAATTGCAGCATTTTTACAGGACTCAACACTGGAATCTCCTACACTGCACAGGGATGATATTAAAAATACAAAGCAGAAGAGACCAGTTATTGCTTACCCTTTTATCCAACAAAGGAATCTCAACGGCTTATGTGAGATCTGAAGGTAAATTTGATTCCAGAGAGGTTTGTTGCTTATTGCCTTGTATTTTTTATTAATAAAAAGTTAATTATTTTAGAATGTAAGACAAGAAAACTATATCATTATTATACACTAAAGAGCACGAGAGGATTCTAGACAATAATTTAGATGTATTAAATAAATAAGAAATAATAGCAGCCTTCTACAATGCAGGCTACACATAGGTTTACTTCGGTTTGAAGTACCCAGGTCTTTAGTACACCTACAGGAACAGATTTGCTCCACAAGTGTTTTAAAGAAACATATCTATAAGATACATACGTAAGAGTGTCTAAGGTTAGGACAAAAATGGAAAGCACACTTTACCACGGTCTCCACATATCTAATGACCCCATTCTGGGGTTGTTATGGGAAAAATTTGGCTGCAGAACCTGTCTGGGAGGTGCAGCAGCATCCGCCTGGTTGCAAAGCGGCAGCGAGGGCGGCTGGAGGGGATTTTTGGCAGCTTGCTTGTTCTCCGCAGGGTAGAGGCGCTCCTGGGCCGGGTTTGTGCCGCGGGCGCTGCCCTTGGGGCTCGGGGCCCTTTTGTGCGTCGGGAGCGGCTGCAGAGCCGGGCTGCCTGCGCGGAGCGCTGCCTTGCCGGGATCCTCGCCCGAGCGGGGCAGGGACTTGAGCAGGTGGTTCAGGAGCCGCGCCCCCAGGCTCTTGTCCATCCACTCGCAGGTGAGCAGCAGGTTGTGCACCTCGTGCATGCACTGGATGTAGCCGGTGCTGTACCTCTGCTGCGCCTCCAGCCCCACCTTGGAGTCGGCTGTGCGGGACAGACACAAAGGGTGAGCGGGGCACGGTCACCGGGTGGCGTCTACAGCGCCTCTGGGTTCAGAGATGCTTTGTTTGCGGGGGTAAGGTGAGCAGGGGGTGAGCCCTGTGCCCTGCTGCCCCGCGCCGAGGCAAAACTGCACCGAAAAGCAGAAATCGGCTCAGGAAGGGAAAAACGCCTTCCGTGGATTCAGCAGTGCCCGGCTCCATCTCCCCATCTAGTGGAGAAAGCCAAACCCCGGCAGGCTGGGCCTGGGCGGTCTGAAAGGGGCTTTGCCAGGCTGCCAGGGCACCAGACCCGCTGGCACAGGGCAAGGGACCGGGCACTCACCCAGCATCTTGCTGCTCTGGATGTTCTGGAGGTGCTTCACTGTCATTTCCAGGATGTCTGCTTTTTCCAGTTTAGACTGCTGATAGGGAAAGAATGCAGCAGTTAGAGGCAAAGAAGGGTTTGCACCATGCCCAGTTTCTCTAAAGATGAGGCATTTCCCTTCCTCCCACCCCCAACCCAATTTCCCACCAGCAGAAGGACAAAAAGCAGCATAAAATGAGGACTTACATCCAGGTGAAATGCACCCACAACAGTCTCCTTCAGCTGGTCTAAGCAGTTATTAATCCTTTCCCTTCGCTTCCGCTCAATGAGGGGTTTCCTTAACTGGCAAAGAAAAGGAGCAGGAAAAATTGCAGTTGAAATTTTCATTTCTTCTCCCTGCTGCAGTCCAGCAAGGCCAGAGATCCCTTCCCTGTGTGAAGCCAGAGCAGGGTGACACTGCTCAGCAGGGACAAGGTGTGGATGGAGCATGTGCTCATCCCTGAGGTGGCATCACCTCTCCCTTCTCCCACTTCCAATCGTTTCAAACACAGAAACTCACTTCACCCGATCAAAACAGAGAGGAGGCATAGAAAGGAAGCAGAAAAACACCCACATGAGTTAAAATCAGAGAAAACCTCTTTGTAAGAGGAGAAAAAGCGTTTGTGACAGTAAGAGCAGTTATCAGTAAAAGCTAAAGCATGGATCCAAATCTAGAGCGCTTCCTGTGCCCTTTAGTGGCTGGCACCCTCATTCACATGCCCAGCTCAGGAGACACTTACCTTCCTCTCCTCCTTGGTGCTGGCCACCTTGTGTGTGCCCGTGGTGGCCGTGGCCGTCATCCTGGGGCAGGCAGGCTCGGCAGGACGGGATGGGATGGGATGGGATGGGACGGGATGGAATGGAATGGAATGGGAAGGGAAGGAGGCGCTCGGGCAGTGGCTCGCTCCCCTTCCAGATGGGCTCTTTGCTGCTCCGCTGCTCCTCGGCTGTATTTATAACCCCAAATTAGCATCTGAAAGGCAACTTTCCTTGGCGGGACTTCTTTTCCCACACGAGGGGTCGAGCCCGGAGGTTTGTGGCCATCAATCAAGGCTGACAGGTCACTGCTTCTTTTCAATGACCACGCCGGCCCCCCCAAACGGCGACAGATGTCCAGCCTCCGACGCTGGGCTTTGGAGGGATCCTTTGTTCGGGAAGAAGGGGAGGAAAATGGGCGCGCTCGGAGCAGCTTGCACGGCTCCTCGTTCAATTCGCACAGATTCCCAGGGAGGGACACAATAGCCGGGAAGCGGTTGAATTACACCTGGGAAAATGCCTTCCACTCATCTTTTTCTCTTCTATCTCCTTGAAGCCGTGTCTGTTTTTACCTGCTAGCCTGACCCCAGTCGTTTCACAGCATTGTAACAGCCTCTTAATTTAAGAATAGAGTACTTCAGCTAGGAGTTCCTGATCCCAGGGAATATTGTTACAAGGAAATGATGATCAATTAAAAACTGTTGACAGCAGATACCCGAAGGAAGGTTGTTTCCATCACAGAAATCCTCTAGGGAAAACATGGGAACTTTATTTACCTCCTGGGAACCTGAATTATCTGTTGCACCTGGATGGATGTAGGTAATCTGTAACTCTTTTGGCTGCTCTGCAGAATTTAATATTAAATTTACAGGGTATTGAAGATACTAACAAACCTAGAGCTGAGTTAGTCCTGTGGAAGCTTTACTTCTCTGGGCTTTCCCCCCATGCTGTGAGGCTTGGGTGGCTTTGTGAGGAAGGGGGTTTGTCTGCTTGCTGCTCTGGAATGCTGGGGCAGGGGATGAGGGCCCTTTTCAGGAGGCTTGGTGTGGGGTGAGAATGCACTTTTATACTTCCTCACTTCTGCCTGGCTTGGGGGAGAATATGAAGGCGTTTTCATGACCTTGCATTTGCTTTCTGAAGCTGCTTTGCTGATGAGCAGGATTTGGCAGCGTCCTGTTGAGTCCCTCAGGTGAAGCCCTTTGGATTGGTGTTGAATGTGTCACCTTATTGAAGTGGAGAGGAAGCAGCTGCAGCGGTTCAGAAGCACTGCAGGCCCTCCCAAAGCACTGGGGGGATTTCCCAGCTCCTGGGAAAAAGAAATAGTTTATTCAAATAAATAAAAAATAAGAGCAGCATTCTACAAGGCAGGCTACACATAGGTTTACTTTGGCTGGAAGTACCCAGGTCTTTGGTAGAGCCACAGGAACAGAACACTCCACAAGTGTTTTACAGAAACATGTCTGTAAGGCAGATGGTGCGTGGCTGCAGAGCCCTGTGCCCCTCCAGCCCTGGGTGGGGACATTCCCCAGTGACAGCAGTGAGGACATCGCGCTGCTCCTTGCTCAAGCACCGTGTGGGTGTGAGTGTGTTGGCCTGTGTGTCAATGCAAACATACCTGCAGCACCTCTGCACACCCTGCTGCCTGGGCTCATCACCAAAACATGTCCCCAGCCATGGGAGCTGGCAGGCAGAGGCTGTTTGGCAGTCACATGCAGAGCTGGGGTGCAGTTCCTTGGTTTTATAAGTGCCCTACTTTGGCAATGGCCTGGGACGAGCTGGGGTGGTGGCTGTGCTGGGAGAGGAGGGTTGGGAGGGGAAGGTTCACAACTTATCCATTGTGCCAGGTAAAGGGGTGGGATTCTTATCTCTGGGGTGTTGTCTTCAGAGACAGCAAAAGGAGATCCCCATGCAGGAGGGCCTCACATCAGCCAGCCCAGGCTCCTCACTTGTGAAGACTCCTTTGGTTTTCCAAGCTTTTTCCATTCCAAGGAAATGGATTGTTGCTGCTATTTATAAAAGGTGTAGCTGAGGCCACATGACTCCACTAGCAGCTCGGCCAGGAGGAGGCAGGGCTGGGCTGGGGCAGGGGGCACAGAGCACACTCTGTGTTTTGTGCCCAGGCTGGCGGTGCCTGCCCATCTCCCTCCACCTTGTGCAGAGAACAGCACCTTCCCCAAGCACCCAGGGCAGCAGGGAGAACCTGAGATCACCTCAGCTCCTGGCCCAGCTGAGCACGGCAGGGGTGTCAGCAAACCCAGAATTACCCAAAGCTCTGAAAAGCACATCCCAAACCTACTGGCACTGCTGCAGGGTGCAGCGTGTGCCCCGTGTTGGTGGCCCGGAGGCTGGCCAGGACAGTGCCACCAGGACAGCTCTCTCAGTGTCTGTGATGGCAGCACCTCCTTCTCAGCCTCTCTCCCTCCCTTGGCCCTGCTCGTGGCTGCTGCCTCTCCCTCCCTCCTGCCCCTTTGTGCTGCGAGCTGCCCCAGCCCCGGGGCTGTTCCCGGGAGCACCAGGGGAGTTGGTGGCCAGGGGGACACCGGGCTGAGGGGACGGGCCCCGGGTGCCAGCCCGTGCCCAGCCCAGCCGGGCACCGCAGCCCCTTGGCTTGCCCACGGGCATCTGCTGCGGGCGAGCTCATTTCAAGGTTCATTTGTAAGACAGAGCCGCAGTGCAAAAGAAGAGCAGCTTTGGCTGTAAACAGTTATTTTACACCTCTCAGTCACGGCAAAAGCCTTTATTTCGGAGGCGGGGGTGCGGGCGGGAGAGCTGCCCTGGCTTTGGGCAAGGCTGACATCTGTGCCGGGGATTGCAGGGACCCAACAGCCCCATGCTAATGAGCATTACAGGAGCTTTCTGCGAATTCCCGCTTTCCTTTTGCGTTGCCACTGCCAGGTTTCACTGAAAAGGGGATTCTCCTTTGTAAACAAAGCCTCCCTTTTTTCCTGGGCTTTCCAAAAAAAAAAAAAAAAAAAAGAAAAGGAAAGAGAGAGGGGTGAGCGCTGCTTAGAGTTTTCCCTTTTTTTTTTTTTTTTTTTTTTTTTGCTATTTGTCTACACTTCACACTCCGGAGAAAGAAAACAACTTTTAACATCTGTTCCTGCAGTATTTAAGAGGGAAAGAAAGGCTGTTGAAAAGGGGGAAAGTGTGGCAGATGTTGGCAGGTTCCCTCGGGCGCAGATGTCCTGCTCCGAACAGGGCTTTCCTCGGGGAGCGGCGGCCGGGGCTCCTCTGAGCTCGGGACACGCGACTGCCGAGCGGGCGGGGGACGTGGGAAAGCGCCGCCGAACAAAGGCGCTTATTCAAACAAACCCCAGAGCCGTGAACAATCTAATCACCAGCAGAGAAATGGGCAGCAGCCCCCGGCCCCGCCAGCGAGGGCTCGGGGGCAGCCGGTGGCCACGGGACGAGGGAATTTGACCGGGCTGCAAGCGGAGTGTCCCTTCCTTGCCCCCTGTGCTCCCTCTGGGCATCCAGCACGGAGCTGTGGCCAGGGATCCATCCTCGCTGAGGTGCTCTGCAGGCCGGCTGTGCCACGCAGCAGCACAGGGGATGGAGGGCAGGATGGAACCCTCGGGATGGAGGGCAGGCATCTCTGGGCAGGATGGAACCCTCGGGATGGAGGGCAGGCACCTCTGGGTGGGATGGAACACTCGGGATGGAGGGCAGGCACCTCTGGGTGGGATGGAACCCTTGGGATGGAGGGCAGGCACCTCTGGGCTGGATGGAACCCTCGGGATGGAGGGCAGGCACCTCTGGGTGGAATGGAACACTCGGGATGGAGGGCAGGCACCTCTGGGCTGGATGGAACTCTGGGGATGGAGGGCAGGCACCTCTGGGCTGGATGGAGCCCTCAGGATGGAGGGCAGGCATCTCTGGGCAGGATGGAACCCTTGGGATGGAGGGCAGGCACCTCTGGGTGGGATGGAACACTCGGGATGGAGGGCAGGCACCTCTGGGCGGGATGGAAATCTGGGGATGGAGGGCAGGCACCTCTGGGTGGAATGGAACACTCGGGATGGAGGGCAGGCACCTCTGGGCTGGATGGAGCCTTTGGGATGGAGGGCAGGCACCTCTGGGCAGAATGGAGCCCTTGGGATGGAGGGCAGGCACCTCTGGGCTGGATGGAAATCTGGGGATGGAGGGCAGGCACCTCTGGGCAGGATGGGAACCCTCGGGATGGAGGGCAGGCATCTCTGGGTGGGATGGAACACTCGGGATGGAGGGCAGGCACCTCTGGGCAGAATGGAGCCCTTGGGATGGAGGGCAGGCACCTCTGGGCTGGATGGAAATCTGGGGATGGAGGGCAGGCACCTCTGGGCAGGATGGGAACCCTCGGGATGGAGGGCAGGCATCTCTGGGTGGGATGGAACACTCGGGATGGAGGGCAGGCACCTCTGGGTGGGATGGAGCCCTTTGGATGGAGGGCAGGCACCTCTGGGCTGGATGGAGCCCTCGGGATGGAGGGCAGGCACCTCTGGGCTGGATGGAGCCCCTCTGGATGGAGGGCAGGCACCTCTGGGCGGGATGGAGCCCTTTGGATGGAGGGCAGGCATCTCTGGGCGGGATGGAACCCTCAGGATGGAGGGCAGGCACCTCTGGGCTGGATGGAAATCTGGGGATGGAGGGCAGGCACCTCTGGGTAGGATGGAACCCTCGGGATGGAGGGCAGGCACCTCTGGGTGGGATGGAGCCCTTTGGATGGAGGGCAGGCACCTCTGGGTAGAATGGAACTCTGGGGATGGAGGGCAGGCACCTCTGGGTAGGATGGAACCCTCGGGATGGAGGGCAGGCACCTCTGGGCTGGATGGAAATCTGGGGATGGAGGGCAGGCATCTCTGGGCAGGATGGAACCCTCGGGATGGAGGGCAGGCATCTCTGGGCAGGATGGAACCCTCGGGATGGAGGGCAGGCACCTCTGGGTGGGATGGAACTCTGGGGATGGAGGGCAGGCACCTCTGGGCTGGATGGAGCCCTCGGGATGGAGGGCAGGCATCTCTGGGCAGGATGGGAACCCTCGGGATGGAGGGCAGGCACCTCTGGGTGGG